AAAAAAGGATTGATATTAGAGGAATTCTAGGTTAATTCAGTGGATAGAACACTAGCCAGGAGGTGGCATAGAGGTTAAGGTGGCTGGATCCCATGTGGTCAGCTGTGTGATTCGAGTTCTGGACCCTGCAGCTTGAATACACACTGGGCACTTATTTATGCATCCCCAAAATCCAAAGAGGAATGTAGAAGAGAAAGGATTGCAGGATGGCCTTACCACCGGAGGGCGATTTCTCCCTGTCCCTCTCTCTCTTTCTCTCTGGTGAGCACATGTGCCCTATAGCAAAAACAAAAAAAGGGTTGCAGAAAAGACCAACAAGAAACCAAGCACCACTCAGAAGGTAGGAGAACCCAGAGGAGCTTGTATTAAAGTCTGGGCCTTCCCCTTTGGGATGTCACAGGAGTTGTATAGGTATCTGGTTCTGAGTTACCTCAGGGTCACAGGTGTTTAGGAAAGCAACTGTTCTTTCAATTCTTGAAATTTTCTATAAGCTGAAGTCCACATCCTGTTGAAGTGAGCGAATTTACAGAAGCTGAACAGTGATTAAAAAAAAAAACAAAAAAAAGGTATATGTTTATGCAACCTCAAAATCCTGAGAGAAGAGTCAAATAGAAGGGGTTGCAGGGTGGTCATGACCCCGGAGGGTGATTTCTTTTTTTTAATTTTTAAAGTTTTTAAATCTTCTAGAGAGGTTTTTGCTGTAGGGCACATGCACTCACCAGAAAGAGACAGACAGAAAGTGACAAATCACCACTCAGGGGGGATGGCCACGCCACAATCCCTTCTCCTCATTCTCCTCTAGGGATCTTGGGCACAGACCCTCACACGCTCAGTGCAAGTTTAAGTCACCGGCTCAGGGCTCGAACCGTGGCCGACTACATGGGAGTCCAGCGACATAGCCATTACGCCATCTGCTGGTCCCAACCCTGTAGGGTGATTTCTTACTTTCCCTCTCTCTCTTTCATCTCTGTCCCTCTCTGGTATGCACATGCACCTTATAGCAAAAACAAAAAAGAAATTTAGAAAAAAAAAAAAAAGATGATGACAGAACATACCAATCTAATCTCGTTCCCTTCCTAAAACCGCAATGAGTTTTTGTTTTGTTTTGTTTTGTTTTGTTTTTTAAGAGAGATTTTTGCTATAGGGCATGTGCACTTGCCAGAGACACAAAGAGAGACAGAAAGCGAGAAATAACCCCCTGTAAGGGGTGACCATGCTGCAATCTCTTCTCCATTTTCCTCTTGGGATTTTGGGCATGTCTGCACATGCGTCAGTGTGAGTTTTAAGCTGCCAGGTCCAGGACTCGAACTGTGATCGACTATGTGGAAGTAGAGCAACGTAACCATTACATCATGTGCTGGCCCTAGTAGTGAGATTTTTTAAAAAAGACATGACAGCACAAGATGAGAATAACAACAAACCCTTGGGAGCTGGAAAGCCTGTAGAAGATTGCACATTAATTTGGAACAGAGGACACTGAATTCTATGGCAACAATGAAGAAAATTTGAAAACAGGTAAGATTATATTATAGAGTCATCAATATAGAGCCATCAACAGACTCAGATCTTCTCTTCAAGTCCATGCTGCTTGGATAACTATTTCTGTCTGACTGTGGCAGAAACTGGGACTCTCCAGAACCAAGGAAAACGAGTGTCTGGACTGGGAAACAGCAGGCACACCTCAGGCTTTTGTACCATACGAAAACCGAGGTTCACAAAATCGCATGTGCCTGAAGGCTAAAGCACCACCTCTTGCTCCACAAGCCTTCTCAATAACTTAGTCCCCAAATACTACCTTCTAGGCAGGAGATGGGCACCCCTTTCTCTGGGGAACCTGAGCAGTCTAAGAGGAAAGTAGTAGAAAAACTGATACTTGCAATTACCCAACAAATAAATTATTCTACTGTAAACTCAGAAATATGAGCGCTCTCTGCAAACTCAAAACTTCTTTTTTTTTTTTTTTGCTATAGGGCATGTGCGCTCGCCAGAAAGACAGAGAGAGACAGAGAGATAGAAAGCGAGAAATCACCTCCTAGGGGGATGGCCACTCCGCAATCCCTTCTACTCCATTCTCTTCTTGGAATCTTGGGCAGGCACGCAAATGCACCCAGTGTGAGTTTAAGCCACCGGGTCCGAGACTTAAACTGCGGTCGACTGTGTGGGAGTCCAGCGACACAGACATTACGCCAACTGCTGGTCCCTAAACTTAAAACTTCTAATCAGCTTTTTAATCCTTTACTCTTAATCAAGAGCAGGAAATGAAAGATTACTTTTTTTTTTTTGGAGAGGTTTTTGCTATAGGGCGCATGCACTTGCCAGAAAGACACAGAGAGAGACAGAAAGAGGGAAATCACCCCCCAGGGGATGGCCACACTGCAATCCCTTCTCCTCCTCCATTCTCCTCTCAGGATCTTGGGCACACATGCACACACGCCTGGCATGAGTTAGAGCCACCAAGTCCGGAACTTGAATCATGGTCGACAACATGGGAGTCCAGTGACATAGCCATTACGCCAACTGCTGTTCCCAAGATTTTTAAAACTCTAAAGAAAGCCTCAGTCAAGCAAAATAAAGACCAAGCACGTGCAAAAAGCCTCTTGGAGAAACAGAATCTGTAGGAGAAAGACAGCTTTAAATAATTCAGACGTTTTCGTAAGAGACCACTAGATAAATATGTTATGGTTAAAACAAACAATGGCAGGGGCCAGCAGGTGGCATGGTGGTTAAGGGTGTTGCACTCCCACATAGCCGACCATGGTTCAAGTCCCAGACTTGGTGGCTTCCTTTCTTACTTTTCCTCTCTCTCGGTCTCTGATCAAACTGGAAAATGAAAATAAATAAAATAATTCTTTAAAAAATGACATAAACATTAAGTTTACTGTATTAGAAATGTGCTAGGGACCAGCAGTTGGCATAATGGCTATGTCGCTGGATTCCCATGTGGTCGACCACAGTTTGAGTCTCAGAACCAGTGGCTTAAACTCATGCTGGGCGCATGTGCGTGTGTGCCCAAGATCCCAAGAGGAGAATGGAAGAGAAGGGATTGTGGTGTGATCATTCTCCCGGGGGATGATTTCTTGCTTTCTGTCTCTCTCTCTTTTTCTCTCTGTCTTTCTGGCGAGCACACATACCCTATATCAAAAATCTCACCAAAAAAAAAAAAAAGAAAAGAAAAGAAAAGAAATGTGCTCAAGGGTCCAGCAGGTGGCATGATAGTTAAGACACTGGACTCCCATGTGGCTAATTGCTATTTGAATCCCAGACCCGGTGGCTTGAAACTCATGCTGAGCACATGTGTATGCATGCTCAAAATTCCAGGAAAAAGAGAAGAAGGGATTGCAGTGTGGCCATCTCCCCTGGGGGTGGGGGTGGGGGTGGGGGTGATTTCTCACTTTCTGTTTCTCTCTCCAGTAAGCACACACACCATATAGTAAAAATTTCTGAAAAGAAAAGAGAAATGTGCTCAGCAAAGGAGAAAATGACCAAATGAAATCAGTCACGTGGACTCTGAGCAGCCTTAGCACTTGAGTTTAATAAACTTTTATTGGGGGGGGGGAGTTAGCCAAAAGATGCTGTTAGGGAGGGAGTCAACAAGAGTGTGTGTGTGTGTGGGGGGGGACAGGAAAGAATTGGTCAGAATTTGCAGTTTAAGTCTATCCGCTTTGATTGGCCAAGCAAGGCTGCTTGTGTAATAGCCTGTGGTTTTATCTTTCCTAAACACGTGGATTCAAGCTAGGCTGTTGCTAAGATAGTTCATCTGTTTTTGAAGTTGTGTTTTTTTTTATCATTTTTTATTTTTCAATGCTGAGAGAAATAAGAGAAAATTTTGCATCCTTAAAACAAGAGCAGGATTTTTCTTTTAGCCAGAGGGTGTGTGTGCATCCAGGAGACAGAGGCAGCACCCCTCCAAAGGGGTGTGGTCACACTGTAATCATTTTTATCCAAAACTCTATCTATTCAGAATCCTGAGCATGAGTATATATGCCTTGTCTAAGCTCTCGGGCTGGGACTCAAAACCTAATGGGCTATGTAGGATCTTGGCACAGCACCTAGCTGCTCTGCTACACAGCCAGCCTGAAAAGTATCTTTTTACTTTTTAAAATTTTGCTATTGGGGTCAGCAAGTGGCATAATGCTTAGTGCTGGACTTCCATGTGGTCGACAGCAGTTCAAGTCCTAGACCCAGTGGCTTCAAACTCACATTGAGTGCATTTGCGTGTGTGCCCAAAATCCCAAGAGGAGAATGGAGGAGAAGGGATTGTGGTATGGTCATCCCTCCGAGGAGTGGTTTCTCATTTTCTCTCTCTTTCTGGTGAGCACATGCACCTATAACAACAAGAGTAACAAACACTCTCAAAAAAAAAATTTTTTTTTTTTTTGCTATTGGGGGGCTGGCTAGCAGATGGCGTGGTGGCTAAGGTACTAGACTTCCACATGGCCAGCTGTGGTTCAAGTCCTAGACCTGGTGGCTTGTTTTCTCACTTTCCCTTTCTGTCTGTCTGTCTCTCTCTGGTGAGCCTATGTGCCCTGTAGTAAATTTTAAAATAATAATAATGATAAATAAAATAAATAATTCTTTAAAAATTTTTTGCTACTGAGTATGTATGCTTACTGGGAGAAAGAGAGAGAGAGAGAGATGGAAAGTGAGAAAGCACCTCTAGGGGAAATGACCACACCACAGTCCATTCTTCTCTGGGATTTTAGGCACACATGTACATGTTCCTGATGTATCTGTCTTCCTTCCTTCCTTCTTCCTTCCTTCCTTCTTCCTTCCTTCCTTCTTCCTTCCTTCCTTCCTTCCTTCCTTCCTTCCTTCCTTCCTTCCTTCTCCCTTCCTTCCTTTCCCTCTTTCTTTCTCTTTCTTTCATAATAACAATCCTTTATTGACTAGTAATAACACAAGGGTAATCAAAACAGTATGAACACATTTTTAGAACTATACTTTCCGTGAAGGGAACAGACTACTGTCTTCTCAGCCAGTTCTCATTTCCTGTATCATTTCTAGTTGGTGACACTTAGTAGGAGAGTAATGTTATCTCCTTTTAACATAATCCAACCCAGTTGTTTTCTTGACCTTGTTTTAGAATTAATTTCCTTTGCATCATCTAATATAAGATTCATACACTCATCCAAACCAATGATACAGCCTTCTAGCCACACATTCACTTGTTCATAGAACCACACCTGAATCCAGGTTCTATTCTGCAAATAACTGAAGATGAGGTTGACGGGTTCCACCATCACTGTCTGCACTTTCTGGCTCTGGCCGCAGTATGCCATGGTGGAATCTCAAAGACCATCCCTGGTGTGTTTTTCAAACTGCTGGTTTCAAGATATGAACAGCCAGTTGGCAGCCGTTGGCAGTGCTTAAAGGGTCCCGCCCCCTTAACCACCATGCCATTCGTTGGCCCAGGATGTTATTTTTTTAAAAAGGAACATTCAGAGAACAAAAAAGAATTTTTAAAAGCTAAAGACATGAAAACTAAAACCAGTAGGTGGCATAGCGGTTAAGACACTGGATTCCACATAGCCTACTGCACAGTTCACATCTCAGACCCGGTGGCTTAAAAAACATGGGGCACATGTGTGTGCTTGCCAAAAAATCCTGAGAGGAGATTGGAGAGGAGAAGAGATTGCAGTGTGACCATACTCCCTAGGGCATAATTTGTCACTTTCCCTTCCTTTCTCTTTTCTAGCGAGTGCACGTGCCCCGTAGCAAAAAACTGAATTAAAAAAAAAAAAAAAAAAAGTGAAGACTAGCCCAGTGGTTCAGTGGTAACACGCTGCTCAGTTGAAGCTGAATCCAGATGAAAGATGGAGGATTATTCTCCCCAATTAGCCTGTACACTTTGAGACAGATGGAGTGGACACATACTTGCTTATGATCTTGGCTGGCTGAGAAAGCTGAGGGTTGTGGCACGAGGTCCTGCTGA